AAATATTCAAATGTTTGATTTATTTTATGTATTTAGTGTCTAACATGATCTTTTATTTTGTTGTCTTCAAAGCTAATTTCGTTGTCAATGACAAAAACCACAAAAAACATATTGTTTTTGGAGCTTGGGAAAGAAATGGAAGGACAAACGATGTAGATTGTTTAATAAATATCACAATTCAGAACTATCTATGAAGCAAAATATTCAAAATCACCAATCGCACATTCCCTAAGATCATTGGATTATTTTTGTGCATTATAGACGAAGTGCTAAAGAAATTAAAAACACTTCCATCTGAACTTTTTCTTACTTTGAATAATATATTATTGTTGATGTAGGATATAACTAACAAAAATGTTGCAAATCGTGCAAAACTAGTGATCCCCCACATACTAGGCTCTAAAACTCTTGCAAGAAAAAAGGATAAATTGGTATGGCTTAGTAAATCTAATTTTTATTTCAACTAATATGTTAATTAATAATATCTATTCTTAATTATTACATGATGTCTATTGTGAAGTCCCACATCGGTTAGGAAGGAGAACGAAGCATGCCATATATATATGGGTGTGGATACCTTCCTTATGTGGACGCGTTTTGGGGTGGCATGCGTGCCATTGCCAGAAGCAAAATCGTGAGGGCTGCGGCCAAAGCGGACAATATCCACATGCGGGTTGCTGGGGTGTTACATTTGGTATCAGAGCCGGGACCCGGGCCGGTGTGCCAGCTAGGGCGCTGGACTCCCTTGAGGGGGGTGGATTGTGAAGTCCCACATCGGTTAGGAAGGAGAACGAAGCATGCCATATATATGGGTGTGGATACCTTCCTTGTAAGGACGCGTTTTGGGGTGGCATGCGTGCCATTGCCAGAAGCAAAACCGTGAGGGCTGCGGCCAAAGCGGACAATATCCACATGCGGGTTGCTGGGGTGTTACATTAGAGAAATGTATCAAGTTTTGCATATATAAAAATCCGGATGGAACCTTTGTTAATGAAGAGACTAGAGAATTACATGTAAGATTAATGTGTTATTTGTACTTTATTGTCATTTGTGGTTTAGTAGTGTTTAAATGCTTGTGTATTATATAGGAAAATTTACAAAATGAATTGCAAATTGTTCTGAAAATGAAATTTTTGAGAGAGTTTATGGGAAATCATTGGATTTTCTTTTCATTCAGTGACATCAACAACTTTCTTTCAATCTAATAATGAGAGGATGAAACAAATGCAAGTTGAACTTGAATCAATTAAGGCACAAGTTGTAGAAGTTGATGTCTAAAGGAGAAGATTGCATTTCTTTTGCAGCGTGTTAAGGGAAATGAGGTAAAACAAATATCATTATGTTTTTTAAAATTTGAAAACAATTTCAATTTTCAGTGGATTTCATTTTGATTATAAGCAATTGCTTTGAGTTTTCACTTAAGGTTGTTTGTATTTTGGTGCTTTGATGGTTTATAAAGATTTGATTAGTTAAGCATGAAATTTGATGCTACTTAGTGTTGTTTGTTGGATTTTAGACTATTATTCTTGCTAATTCCATTGTAAACTTTATTTGGTGAGAAATAAAATCCTTTGAAAACATGTTTGTTGGCTCAAATAATGATAAGTAGTTACTGTAAATGTGTATGTTCTAAAGTCTTTTGAGAAACTATTTTTTCCTTATACATGTTTGCAAAGTGTAGGATGTAGATACTTGATAGTAAAATTATCCTTTTCTTTTTATTTTATTCTTTCTTGGCACATTTTTTTAAGGTTTAATTTTATAGAATTACAGTACACTTATATATATAGGGTCTATTATCCCCCACCACATTTTTCTGTAGATCTTGCAATGATGAGTTTTAATAAATAGTGTGTTAGTGATATATATTTAGTGATGAGTTTTAATAAATCGAAAGCAACTGACCAGGGCTTTAATTGCGGACCGCATCACGCATTGCGGCCACAATATTACGGTTGCGGCCTTGTTTGTAACGGCATCGGATCGCAATTGCGGTGAGACCGTAAATCATAAATTTTCCGTATCGTAACGGCGTTGCTTCCGCAACACCTCTGTTTTTGAATCTGCAAACGACAACTTGAAGGTGAAACAGGGAATCGTTTTTAAAAAAAGTAACTTTTTTTTATAAAAAAAGTTAACTTTCGGGTATCTTTTCAGAGAAGAGAACAGAGATTCAGAGAATTTATTCTGTAGATCAATAATGTGGTTCAAACTTTGACTTAAAAGGTGAAAAACAAAGCATAAAACTTATACTTTCATTCGAAACTCCCTTTGTATCTCTACCTAGAAGAGGAAGGTTGCTTGTTAATTGTAAGTTTTCTATCTCTTACCCCTGTTTCTCTTTGTTGTTGTCATTGATATCCTTGCTAGTGTTGTTGGATTGTTGCTGTCCCGCAGTCTCGAATCCATTGGTTCCGCAGTAAATAGGGACGAATCTGTGATTTTGGCTTGATTTACTTGATTTTGGTTTTCTACTGTGGTGAATCTGGATTCTGGAATTTGGGTAACGGTGCAATCCAGCAACCCTTACGAATGGAAACCTAGAAATTTATTTTAATATAATTTTTTACTGAGTAGTGAGTGCTGCAAGTTAACTTGGTGCATGGAAAAAAAATTAGAATGCAAGGTGGATTTGGATGTGGGCCTTTGGGCCTTGTGGTTGTGGCCTTTAATGAGAATTTTAAATGGCCTTTAAAGATTAGGCATGTGAATCTCCTCCATATTGTATGGGCTGTTGGCAAGCCTAATAAAATGAATATCTAATATTTTAATTTTATATTAGATTATTATTATTTATTATTATTAATGTAGCATTGAACCACTGAATCATGTGCGGTTGTGCCCTACTTTAAATTACTTTCACTTGCCCAAAGTGTTCTTAGGGACACTTTCTTATTGTTTCAATTAGTGTGAAACAATAAAATGAGAAATCTAGTATTCTATTTTATTACTATCATGAAGATTTTTTAATAACAAAATAGAATAATAGATTTTCCATTTTATTATTGCAAAATTCCTCATACAATTAAAAATTGTTTAGCCAGTAAAATGACAAAAAAATGTTTTTGTTAGTAAATGTTTTCTACCATGATAATTACCACTGAATATACAAATATTGTAATAGTAAATAAAAAAATATAATTATAATTATTATCTAATTTAAACGAAATGAAATTAGCATATCTTAAAAACTAAACTCAACTTATTTTATTTTTACAGAAAATAATGTATTTTTGTTAGTCAATTAGGACATTCTCACTCATGGGGTTAAAAAATTATCAACTTCAACATATTTTAACGAAACTAATTTAATAAATAAAAAAGTAAAGAAAGTACCAATAGGAAATTTGAATTGTTTTAGAATGATTTTCTCGTTATTTTTTAAGATACATAACATGTATATCTTTTATTTAATTTATCATTTTTTACTTATTTTAATTATAACTATGTAATACATCATTCTTATCCTAATTAGATGTAATAATTAACTTTTAATAGATTCCAAATTTCAGTACATATTTTTAGGGGGAAAAGACATAGGATCAAAATCGAAAAGAAAGATTAAAATAAATGAATAAATAGGAAGATAAATCTTTCTCATTCATTTAAAAACCATTATCTCTGGTTACAAAAAGAAAAAAATCATTATCTCTAATAGTTAAGAAAATATTTGCTAGACATTTTCCCACTTAAGCTTTCAAATTTTCTAAAGCATGTTCATAGGTATAAGTTAAATGGTATTAAATGTATTTTCTTTATTTTCTAATCAGTAGGGTCGAGATATTTTATGTCTCTATTAAAAATAAAAAATTAAATAATAAAAATATATTGATCTTGTTGGTGTTATGATTAATCCATTAGTTTTAAGTTTTTAAATTTGATAAATTTTTTTTTAATTTTTTAAAATAAAAGGGTATAATGGTTAAAAACTGTGGAGACCAAAGTGGTTACCGAAAAGAGTATCCTCTTTATATATTAGTATAGATGTGAATGACTATTAAAATATTTTGCAATATTTTTATATATAATAATATGTTTAGCCTAATTATATGTATATCAATGTTAGGTTGTTTATATTTATTTTTATTATTATGTTAATTTATTAGTCATTGTTCTGAAGTTTGAAATATAATTTAATTATTGATTGATATTATATTTTCAAAATTTTATACAGATATATATACACAATGATCAAATGAAGAATTTCCTATAAGAAGACTAGAAGGTGCTCCAAGCGACGATATTGGATTGCATTTTGGAGTACCTATAGCAGGAAATCGCAACAATGTCTAATGTAAACTTTGTCAAAAGATAATAAGGGGTGACATTACAAGATTGAAGGAACACATAGCACATGATAAAGGTCAAGTAGCAGGTTTTCCAAGAGTCACGTCATTTGTTAGGGAGAATATGATGAAACTTCTCAAAGATAAAAAAGAAAAGAAAATTGACTTTAGAAAAAGAAAAGAAGAATTTGAATCTCGATTAAGAGAAGATGATGAAGAAGATAGTGAAGAGGAGATGAGGATAACTTCGCAACAAAGCATTAGATCACAACGTGAGTGGGAAGATAGACATTGATTCAGACAACAAAGTGAGGGATCTAATAACATCTATGAATCAGGTGGAAGCTCTCGCATGAGTGTTAGTCGAACTTCAAGAAAAAAAGATGCTACTTTTGCTTTAAGATCTACAAATGTGGATCTTGTGAGAAGTAAAAGTATGAAACAACCAAAAATAGGTGGGGTCTTATGAAAACATTAAAGAAAAAGCTCAGAGAAGTGGTAAGCAAGTTTATAATTTATGAACGCTTACCTATGAATTTATCAAATTCTCCATGGTTGCATAATTTGATTATTGCAGCAGCTGAGGTAGGTTCATCAGTTAAACGCCCTACACCTTATGAAGTTTCTGATGTGTATTAAGAAGCTGAATATAAAAGCATGCAAGAATGGATAAGCAAGTTGAAAACTACATGGAAGGAAAAAGGAGTAACAATAATGTGTGATGGTTGGACAGATAGTGTAAATCATACACATATTATGAATTTTCTAGTGTATTGTAGCAAGGGAACGATTTTCTTGAAATCTATTGATGCTTCTAATGTTGACAGTAGAAATACTGATTACTACTTTCAGTTATTGGATAAGGTTGTGGACGAAGTGGGAGAAGAATTTGTAATTCAAGTTGTTACAGATAATGAAAAAGCACTTAAAGCAGCTGGTCAAAAGTTGATGGAAAAGAGACAACATTTATATTGGACTGCATGTGCAGCACATTGTTTGGATCTTTGTTTGGAGGATATAGGAAAAAAAAAGAATGTGCAAAAGTTATTAAGTGATGCAAAAGTAGTAACAACTTTTATCTACAATCACACATGGATTGTAAATCTCATGAAAAAATACACTGGAGGTAGAGAAATTGTTCGTCCTGGTGTTACCCGATTTGCAACACAATTCTTACAACTTCAAGCAATTGTGCAACAAAAGCAAGGCTTGAGGAACATGTTCAACTCAGAAGAATTTAGACGATCTAAATTTGGAAGAGACAAAAATGGATTGGCATTTGAAGCAAGACAAATTGTTATTGGCAATGATTTTTGGAGCAAGGCTAATGATATATTGAAGGTATTTGAGCCTTTAGTAAAAGTTTTGAGGCTAGTTGATGGTGATGAGAAACCAACAATGGGTTTTATATATGAGGCAATTGATCGAGCAAAACAATCAATTCAAAAAAGTTCTCGTTATTATTCTCAATACCAAGAAATAATTGACAAGCGTTGGAGATTCATGCATTCTGATCTTCATTCTGCTGGTATGTCATTGTAATTTTACGTTTATTATATAAAGCAATACATTAATACATACAATTATAGATACATATTGATTAACTATTTATTTTTTAGGGTATTTTCTTAATCCACAATTTCAATATGGAGTTGAACATGGATCTGATGTGTATCGAGAGACATTTGAAGGAACCAAAAAGGTCATTATGAAATTGGAGAGAAACATGGATGATCAAATTAAAGCTTTAAACTCGGTTAGTAATAAATAATTATATTTTGTTTTTTAAAATTATTGTTATATAACTATGTATTGATATCTTATACAATATAATGTTATATAGTTGGTATTGTTTAAAGACATGGGTGAAACATTTGCTACACCTCAAGCTCAAAGAGCTTGGTCTAGAATGAATCCAGGTAAATATAGTTTCTTCCTTTCTCAATAAATAAATGTATTTTTTGATTGCGACGGTTTATAGTAAACCGTCGCAATGCTGAAAATTTTGCGACGGTTTATGGCTAACCGTCGCAATGTTAAAAAAAATTTGCGACAGTTTATGATTAACTGTCGCAATCTTCAACAAATTTTGCAACGGTTTATCACAAACCGTCGCAATGTTCAACAAATTTTGCGACTGTTTACAATAAACCGTCGCAATGTTGAACAATTTTGCGACGGTTTTTGATAAACCGTCGCAATATTAAACAAATTTTGCGACGGTTTATCATAAACAGTCGCAATGTTCTACAAATTTTGCGACGGTTATGATAAACCGTCGCAATGTTGAACAATTTTGCGACGGTTTTGAAAAACTGTCGTATGAAGGGTCGCAATATCAAAGCGACGACGGTTTCTAGATAACCGTCGCAATTTGTCCGTCGCAATTTATCATTTTCCTTGTAGTGAGTAGTAACAAATTTTATCTACAATCACACATGGATTGTAAATCTCATGAAAAAATACACTGGAGGTAGAGAAATTGTTCATCCTGGTTTTACCCGATTTGCAACACAATTCTTACAACTTCAAGCAATTGAGTCTAAGTGGCACACCTGAGCAATCGCCTATTATATTGTCTATACCTGATTCTCTTCGGAGTTCCTAACGTTGTTCTATACCTGACCTGGTTGAGATAGGTCAAACGTTGGATTCGGTAGGGTTTATGCCACCTAGACTGCTCCACCTCAGTTGTTGGAGATCTCCCATTGTATATGTGTGATGACGCATTAAATATTAAATTGTATATTATTGTTCTTGTTATATTAAAGTTGCTTCTAAGTTGTATGAATGAGTTGTATTTTTATGTTGAACTATATGGTTGTTTGTGATGATGATTGAATGAATGAGTGGTATAGTATTTTTTCCTATACTTGTATGGTTGATTATTGAACTCTAGCTTACCCTTCTGTTTCCATGTGGATGGACTGCGATGATCATACCTTGTATGGGAGCAGGTCAGGGCTAGCTTGGAGTTGGGGTGATCGCTGCGAGACGGGAAGTTTGATCCTCGTGTTTGAGTTATCATTTTGGGCAACAGTTTCGTCTGTGCTTGACCGGCACTAGAGTCATATTATTTTGGGATGACTGTAAATATATGGTGTTTTATTTTATAACCAGAAACTTAGTTATTTTTATTCTTATTTATACTTGTATGTATGAGTTATCCAGCTTAATAATTCTCTTAGTTCACTAGTAGTAGTGCGATTCCACTAAGTGTAGAGACCATGGCGAGTCATTACAAATATGATAATTAAAGAGTATATAAATAAAAGACAATTATCACCTTACAAGTCCAATAGTAAAGAGTTGGTAAATAGGTAGTTATAAATATTTAAAAACTAATATTACGGGTCATTATAAATGTTACATTTTTTCAGCATGGAAAATAATTGTCGGTAAATGTTTTATGGACATCCCATGCAATGGTTAATATGGAATGTTGGTAAAATATATTGTAATCATTTTTATTATCACTAAAAATAATACTAAATGTTACTAAAAGATCATTTTATCTTATAAAAGCATATGAATGTGGAGATTATTTCATTCTTGGAAATGTTCTAATATAATTTGTAAACTTGAATCAAACATAAGAAAACATATTTTTTATTTTTATATTCTCATAAATATTATAAGATAACTTGAAATAAACATAATCATGCAAAATTAAACTATTTTAATATTTCTTGTTACAACACAACTTTTTATTAAAAAAATATTAAATAGAATATTTTTATAAATATTTTATTAGTATGAAATAATTATTCACCTTATTAATTATTAATTTTATTAGAGAATTTAACTAATCATTTTTAACATTGTATTTATTACGCAAGAGATAAAAAGAAAATAACGAGGAGAGCAAAGAAATAGATGCGAATAAATAATTTTTTTGATTTGTTTAATAATACATGAGTTTTAAAAGGAAAATTTACAAATGTGAATCCCACGTCATTTTTCTACAAAAATGAGTGTGAAAATAGGAAGAGAAAGCACAATTGTTTTATTTTTACACTGTTATTCTTTCTTTGTCATACTTTCTCATTTGAATATATGAAAATAATAAATAGTTTCATTCAAATACTTGACTAAAACACCTTTTGGCCATCTTCATCTTGTTGGTCTCTTATGGTTTTGTTGTCGTGGATTTGGTTTTTTGGCTATCTCGATGGCTATTGGAATATATAGTGTTTTTATTATTTATTTATTTATTTATTTCAAACTAAACAACCTTATTTTTATTTTATTATTTTTACCATTTCACTCACTTACTTTTTTTCTCTTTTATTTTTTTTCACTTTATTTTTCATATATTTCTCACCACACATTCAAACACAATATAAATGAGACCTCTCATATCAATCATGATATTTTCATTTATAAAAATGAAAAATTATTTAAGAAAATAAAATTTAATATGAGTGTACATACTTAAAAATGAAATATGAAAAAGAATAATGAGGTGAAAAGAAGGGGGGTGGGGATAGTGAGTGACCTATGATCCTTCTTTCTTCCCAAAATTCCGAGCGGCACTGTGATAGGGACTGATCAGACAGGTTGGTCTTGTCTTTTTTCCCCCACACACTGCACTCTCTTCCTCGTTGTCATCTATTCCTACTCCTCACACATCTCTTCCTATCTTTTTCTTTTTTTTTAAATTATTTTCTCCTTTTAACAAAATATAAAACTCCTCTTTTACGTACACTGCTCCTCCACCTGCTATTGATTTTCCCCTCCCATTTTCAGACTCTGCACTTTTTCAGAGATTCAGTACCCTTACCTTGCTTTCAGTTATGTCAATTCACTTTATAACCCACTTTCTAACTTCTATCATCTTCTTAATTTTCTTTAAAACGGAGTTCCTAACGTTGTTCTATACCTGACCTGGTTGAGATAGGTCAAACGTTGGATTCGGTAGGGTTTATGCCACCTAGACTGCTCCACCTCAGTTGTTGGAGATCTCCCATTGTATATGTGTGATGACGCATTAAATATTAAATTGTATATTATTGTTCTTGTTATATTAAAGTACTCATCCGGAACGACCCGTTCTCCATCCGTAACGGCCCATTCTCCTTCCAGAACGGCCCGTTCTCCAAGCAGAACGGCCCGTTCTGGAATTTGGAACGGCCCGTTTTCCCTCCGGAACGGCCCGTTCCCAACCACGAATTTCAGTTTAATTTAATAGCTTGGAACGGCCCATTCCAGATTGGGAACGGCCCGTTCCGGGCTACTAAATCAGCCACATTTTTTTTAAACCACGTTACAAATATAGTTTCTTCCTTTCTCAATAAATAAATAATAAATTTTTTTTGCTTGATCTCTTAAAAAGCTGAATGGTGGTTGATGTTTGGTTCATGCTCTCCTGAACTTCAACGTGTGGCTATTAAAGTTTTAAGTCAAACAACTTCAGCCACAAATTGTGAAAGAAACTGGAGTACGTTTAGCTATATTCATACAAAGACAAGGAATAGGCTTAAGTACAAAAAGTTGCAAAAACTTGTCTTTACACATTACAACATGAAATTGAAAATGAGGCATCAAATGAGAAAAAGTCAAGAAGAAATTGAATCAAGTTTCAATCCAATTAATCTTGATTATATATTTCGAGAAGATGATCCATTATCTGCATGGATAGAAGAAAGAGAAAATCCACTTTTAGATGGAGTTCAAAATTCAGAGTGGTTGCCTCGAATTGATACAGATGATGAAGATGTGGAAGGTGGAGATAGTGATAATGATGGTGGTGACTTAAGCCCACCAAGTAATAATAGTGGTGATGATGGTGTTGATATTGAAGGTGAAGAAAATGATGGTGAGGATGATGAGGATGAACAAAGACAAAATCATCCATATCAAGAGATTCCATATAATAGGCGTGATACAAATCTGGTAACTGATTTCACTACTTCTATGCCAGGTATGATTCCTCCCGATCGTTCATTTTCAGGTGATAATAGAAGAGATAATTCACAAGTTAGAAGAAGAAAAAATAAACAAAATGTGTCATGTCAAGATTCTTCATCTTCTCATATTGAACAAAGTTTTAGTGACTTCAATATTGATGATTCTTCAGAAAGTAGTCAAGGGTACTATCCACCATCAGTTTATCAACATCCTTATTTTAATGCATACAATCAATATGGAAGTGACCAAGTTCCCTCATACCACCAACCATCAATGAATTATAATGATCTTTATTATCAACATCAAAGTGTGGTGGATTTTTTGATTATGTTTTTGGACAAGGAGCCACACAAGGGGATAGCCAAAGCGAGAGTGGAGGCTATGATCATCCTCGTCACTCTACTATGTGGTAATAAGTATCATGTGAGTTATAAATTTATTATATTTATAATTTTTCACTTGTGAAAAAAAGTTCATGCTTTTTATAGTTTTACAATATTAATAAAAATTTCATATTTTTTCCTTGTAGTGAAATGCATCTCTGAAGGGTGGCATTGCTTCTCAGATAATTGATGACAATGAAACTTGTGGGCAATCATATTACTTTATGTCAAGCCATGTCCTTTTTTCTTTCTTGTCTATTTAAAACTTGTCTAAATGTGTGTACCTTTAAGTTTTTTATTTGTGTCAATGAGACAATTTGCTTTTGAGATATTATGACAAATATTATGTAAGAATTAATCTAACCACTATTGTGTTTCTCTTACTTTTAAATTAATTTTAAAATAAATTAAATTATTCATTAAAATAATAGAGTATTTTAAAAAAGGAATAAAAATGTATAAATCTTTAAAAATAAAACATATATCAATAATTACAATTTTTTATATTTAGTGCAAATAATTAATAATTTCACACCGCATCAGCCACAATCCGCATCGCAATACTCGCAATACCTGCAACTGCAGTAACTGCAACTGCAACTGCGACCGCAACCGCAATTTAAAACCATGCAACCGACCAAGCACCTCCCAACTATACTAACACCCAAGCTCAAATTCCCCAAATCCTACCCATATATGGCCATCGGAATATCTAGCAGAGAATAGTCAAACTAATAGGAAACATAGATATTGGTTTGAAGCATATATCCCGACCTGCACCTCCTATAGGAACATACTAGCAGCAACCAGAAGGAACTAAAAGTTCTCCAAAATTGTTAAGATTTTCAAAATTTTACTACAACCAAAGTCTCCTATGTTTTCTTAAATCCACCCAAAGCACCCTACTGTATACACTCTTTTCTGACTCCCACCTTATACATAGATCAAGGCAAAAATTCCCAACATATCACACCAGAAATATATGCCTCTCTTTAAGAAAATTATGATATTATGTCCCACCTCCCCTGATCACAAAATAATATGTTGCTACGTACTCCATAGGTCCACCAATTTCCATCTAGTAGTACATACCTTCAAACTTGTATTATAAAGGAGTTGGTTGAAATGTTGAGTTATGGAAAGTGGTATGATTTGGAAAGAATGTTACAAGTTGTTATAGATAGTGTTTCAATAATATGTATTTTTATTGAGTAAAACTTATATTTAGTCTCTCTAAGTATTTTAAAACAAATTAAACTATACATAAATATTGGTTTTAACATATTTTATTTATAGGGACTAAGTTAATTTTTTTTAGATTAAAATTAATTTTTATTGATTTTATTATTATTAATAAGAGAATAAATTAAAATTACTATTGAAAGCCGTTTGATATCAAATTACTGATTTTACTATAATCCTTATACATTTTGTTTGGCAATTTAAGATCAATATTAATAATTGGAAATATAAATGATAAAAAGTGTATGCAGGCGAGTCCCATTCTAAAAGTGAGAATAATTCTCTATATCTAAAACTAGTATGAAATTATTTCTCTAGTTGTGTGTTAAAATGCAGGTTATCAAATATAACATGTTCTGCTATTTGTTTTGGAATTACATGTATTAGTTTAAATTGCTACTTATTTATTTATTTTTATTTTCATTCTAAGTATTTGACTTTTGGAATTACTTGTAAATAAAAGAGGTTCCTCTAAATCCAATCATATGCCTGAAGACCATGAACCAGTTTCACCTGTTACTATTTAGATTGTTCTTGTTTTAATTTATAAATTCTAGAAAATTTAAATACATGTGTTTTTTGATATTTGTACTGGAAGGGTCCTATCGATCACGTGGATCGACATGTGATGTCTTATCGGACTTCGACACAATTCTCGGCACGACCTCGGCTCGGCAGAGGGCCGAAAACTAGGGACAACCCAACCCTTTTCCTATCGGTTCGACCAGAGAGGTTGTCTTGGCCGTGCCCTGTCGGCTCGGCCAGAGGTTGTCTCGGCCGTTCCCTATCGGCTCGGCCAAAGAGGTTGTCTCGGCCGTGTCTTGTCGGCTCGGCCAAGGACCAATAGAGAATAGTTAGGATGATAATCATGGTTAACGAAAGACAACACGCAATTAAGGCGTAACCAGCCGATTAACATCGTATTACCTAAATTGGTAAATGTTAGAGAAGGCCCACCCCGCTCAGGCCCATGACAGGTAGTATAAATAAGTCACACGAAACGAGGTATGTCACTGTTCATTTATTACTCTCGAGAATTATGCTTGTCCTGACTTGAGCGTCGGAGTGCCTTTTGCAGGTACCTCCCCCCTCTGAAGCATCAACCCGAAGCTCTCGTTCGGCCCTCCAGTTACTAGAAGACTACGAGTGTGCCCTTAGATAGGTACAATATTTGTTCAATGTTGGATGAGAATCATGCTTATACTCTATACTTATGAATGAATTTTTATTTCATGCTTATACTTTATACTTATTGATGAATGATGGATGAGTGAATTTTATGTTATTCTTAGTACATTTATTTTATTCTCATTTATCTTATTGAATGATTTGAAAAAAATTTCTAGAAAAATGTCTATGTTTATCATCAATAAAGCTTATGACATGAGGGATTTAAAATCGTTTTTTGATTTAACACCAAAATTTATTAGAGAATTTACCTTACAAATGCTGCAAACCCTAACCTCTTTTTGTGAACTTCCAATTTCCTTTTACAACGTTCCTCTGTTCCCTAGGTGCGAAGGTTTGATTTTGTTTACCCAAAACTTCCATTTATGTGTGACTCAATTCTTTACTTTGTTTCTCAAGTTTCACATGTTGTAACTTATTGTAGAAACCGTGTTTTGATTTTGCTTTTAGGTATACATAGGTATATAGGTCAATATCACTTTTAGTGCCTTTGGTCATTCTTGAGACCACTTGTGAACCTTTGTTATGTTTTTTTTTTTTTGTTTTATATGGGTCAGACTTAATACACCTAAACATGTTTAGCCCATTAACAATACACTTGTATATGTGTAGTCTTAACCTTCAGATAGTCATCCGCTGCATGTGTAACACTTGTAGGTTTATGAAAAAGTGATACATCTAAAGTTCTGATTTATGTTTATTCGTTTTGTGGGTAAATTTATAAAAGCAATTAAATCGGTAAGTGTCTAATTTGTTGACATGTAAAAACTTGTTTGAGTGAGTTGCATATATATATATGTATATATATATTCTCTTTAAGATAATTTTGTGGAAGAATGATTAACCACTGAATGTTGTTTTAACAGAGATTCTCGTACACAAGTAAAAACAAAAAGCAAAGAAAAACTTTGTTAGGATAAAAAACCCACACTTATATTTAACTAATTATGTTATTAATTACCAAATTATTTTAACTAACTCCAAGCGTGTGGTTCAGCGGTAGGGATTGATCCACGCTTAAGCAAGGTCAGGGGTTCGAATCCTGCCTTGTGTATGCAGCCGCGTTAAATCTTGGAGCCAGCTATCCCACCCTTTAAAGTGTCTCCAACCTAGCAAGGAGATTAGTCACTGCTGTCGGCGGTGGATACTCTAAGGACGAACCAAAAAAAAAAATTATTTCAACTAACAAATATTGGATCCACACCCCGAGCCCATCCCTACAACGAATTGATGGAACATTTGGAGGTCTACGCTGCGAGAACGAGAGTAATAATTGGTCAGAGAGAGAGAGAGCTACGCCTGCATGCAATGAAAGAAACGAAGAAGTGCAACCAGCTTCAAGATGCAAATTGGCGGTGAGAGTCAGTGACACGTGTGGCATAGTATCTAGCAATGAAATCAGAAGCTTTTCTGTCAATACCAGGCTCTGCAACCCAATGTTCTCTGTCTTCATCACTCGCAAATATCCTTCTCCCTCCACCACTTCCTTCCACATATTCATAATCGTACCTTCTTCCACCTGAGAAACACGTCTTCAAAACGCCGCAAAAGGGGTGAGAAGATAATCTCTTTGCTCCCATTATTGTCTCTCTTTTCCCACTCATGCTACCTTTGGATGATATACAAATTACACTCAACTCAACACTCAACTCAACACTCACAACACGACAACCCCTTCTAGTTTTTACGAGGATGTTTGAGCTTTAAGGTAAAGTGGTTTTTGGGTTGATGAGTTTTTCTGTTTGTTTTTGTTGTGAGTAACATACACGGAGCATGTTCGTATTTATAGAGTTGCACCTCACTCACATAGTTATGCCTATGCCAGATCACATGTTATTTTACGTCAAAAAAAGTAGGGTACGGATTCCCTGAACTCAGTCATGAGAATGGTTATCGTGAATATTATAAAATTCGAAAGAAGCATATATGCATTCTCTTTCTCTCCTTTTGAATTGTCACGCAATAGTTCTCCTTCTCCACCGGATAGGTTATACGTACGCTGCCCAACTTCGCTTTTGATTTTTCAACAACCTTAAATACAATTTCTTAAGTTATTCAACTATTAGAATTAGAGATTTATCTCAATATATATATATGTATTAATAAAATTTACATTAAATTTAAATATATATTATCAAGATAAATATTTAATTCAGATCGGAGAATAATATCGATCACATCTAAAAGATTATGTTAATTAAGTTTTGTGGTTTGTTTTTATCATCACTTTGCAGTTTGCTTCACTACTTAATGTGCTTCACGCAATAATTAATGCTTACAGAATCAGTGTTGCGCATCCTTGTTAATAATTTTATGATAACGGTTCGGGTCAGAATGAATGGTAAAGAGGCTAAAGAGAGACATAATTCTAAATAAAGCCTGTACCGTAGAACTTTAAGCTTAGAATTTGGAAAGGGAAAATGAATTTAAATCCACATGTTGCGTGTTTAGCCATGCATGAAAATGTAACTAAATAATTGAGGAGACGGTTCCTTCTAGCTCGTTCAGAATTTAAAATAACAATTATTGGTTAAGTTAGTGTTGAGTTATTCCTTCCTTGGTGAAGCATCATAAATAAGTAATAATCAACTAGTGTATGACTCTTAAATATCACCTCTATCATTATAGGGCGGTGGAAGATGATGAATGTATTTAGACAATAGAAAATTAATATTCAGATTCTCTCAATGAGATACATTTATGAATAAAGCCGTAGCTCTTTCACTATTATATATAAAGGGAGAATTAGTGAAGAGTCCATTCCATTCAAAATTCTTGTTGAGTTAAAAAGAGAAAATTTCTATCATTATGTGTAAGAGTGGAGAGATTTTGTATTATTTAAGGGTGATATTCTTTGAATTATCCTTATGTGAGAGAGATAAATTTTGCAATCTCTTTTGGTAGTCGAAATCTTTTATTGAACTAAGTCTCAGTTTTTTTTACCCACATTAAAAAGATTTTACACAAATAATTCTCGAGTTATTCTGCTAGTCTTTTGCATTGTTTTTAGTTATAGCTAGCATAGTATGTATTTTGTCACTACAAAAAAAAAAAGACATTTAGCGACCACTAAAATCGGTTGCTAAATTATTAAAATTGGTTGCTATTTATCTTAGCGACCGAATTAGTGACCGAATTAGCGACCGGATTTAAGTAGTTGCAAAAATCCTGGTTGCAAAGCTATATAGCGACCGAAAAAATTTTGGTCGCTGTTTAGCGACCGAAAATTTTGGTTGCAAAATAGTTGCAATGATTTTGGTCGCTGATATGTATGATGATCAAATTAGTGACCGAATAAATCGGTCGCTAAAGATTTATTTTTTATTTTATTAAATTTTATAGACGTCGCAAATTCGGTTGCTATGAAACACTCGTACGTGACCTCTCAAGGATTCTATTTCACAAAATACTTCACTTTTCAGCATGTTTTGTCCTTCATTACACAATTTTTGGGAAACTTTCCAGAAGGTCACCCATCCCTATATTACTTCAAGTCAAACACGCTTAACTTTGGAGTTCTGATGAGATAAGCTACCGAAAAGCTAATGCATGTTGTTAGTATAGGTAGCACAAATTAATTCATTTAAGTCATCTTCAACTATACAATCTCAACTAATACTATCTTTGGATCCTTCTCATTTCGATGTGTCCGGACCGTTATAATATATAATAATACATATAATAATTATATCACTAATAATAATTATTATATTATATTTAATTAAAATTTATTTATATATATACTTATTTTTATAATTAATAATCTACTTATTTCTATTTAAAATTAATATTATGATACAATTTAAATTATTTATTTAAAATATAAAAGATTAAATAATAATTTTAATATTTTAAAATGAGAAGAGTTATAATAACACTAGTATAACTTTTACTAAGTATTACATTGCTCAATAACTTTATTAAATGTGAATTTTGTAAATCCAACCGTTAGATTAAAAGTTCATATCACTTTATATGTTTATATCAAGTTTTGTTAAAATTGAACAACAACATGAAGGTAATCAAAATACTCATATTTTAGTATATTTTGAAATGTATATATTATGTCAATTTTATTTTACAAGAATGAATAAGTATCAAATCATCTTGAATTCATATAAAATTTTGTATATATGATCTAAGAGTAAAAAACTTTTAATCTAACGGTTGAATTTATAAAATTTACATTTAATATAAAGTTATTGAGCGATGTAATACTTAGTAAAAGTTACACCGATGTTATTATAACCCTTCTATTTTAAAATATTATTTTATAAATTAAATTTTAATATTTTAAATAAATTATTAATTAACTTAATATATTTATTGATCTTAAATCTAAGATATAAAATTCAAAAAATGTATTTATCCTTGTTTTATTTTCTAATTATCATCCATTAATAAAATACTAATTTAAAATCTTATCAAGTTATATCATAATATTTTCATATTAAGTTTAAAACTAGATATTAGTTATAAAATATGTTAATTTGTGTTGGGATTTTATTTCAACACGAAACTTTAAAATAAATGTGCGAATAAAAAAAAATCTGTTGAAACGGCCATGTATTATATTTGATAGAGAAAAAAGCAAGGAAACGCATTGTAATATATTAAAAACTGATCAAAAAGAATAAGCGGGTGGTTTGCCCAATTAGTTAAGGGGAAGACTTAAGATTTTCTTCACGTAAGTATGGGTGTGGATTTGAGCTCTACTGTCAGCAATTTTAGCCTTTTTAAACAAAGGAGATGTAATTGTAATAAAAAGGAGGTGTATATATCATAAGTTAAATACTATGAACATCTTTGAGTAAATTAAAATCATAAGATAATAATTTTTTTAAATTACTAAAAAATATTTCATTTTATAATTGTTTCACAAATTCTTACTATATTTTTGTATAAGTCAATTACTTCTAAACAATGAAACTAACACAATTATATTAATTGAATTGAATGATCAAGTCTAACTTTTAAAAATAATAACTGAAATAAAATAAGATTCATGAAAATAAATTCAAAAGATATTAGGTAAATAATTTTTATATATAATAAAATTAAAGACAAGGATTAAAATAATCAATGGAGTTAATATAATATTCATTTATAAATATTTAAATAAATTATAAGTAGCAAGGTATTATTTAATTGATGTTTAAAATAAAATATTTTATAATATCTAAATGAATTGATTTTTAAGATAAACTATTATATACATATTTAATTAATATAATTTTAAAATATATATGTATAATTAGATATATTTTAAATAAATATTTTTATATTAAAAATTAATTTATCATTAAACAAAATAAAAATATTTCAAAATATGGTTGTTGTTGAATCAGTTTCCCATGGTGGGATCATATTCATATATAATAATAGAATCATGTCTCCTCAAAGAAGCGATATCTACCCCAAAGTAGTACGAGCATAATCGAAGATAGATGGTATAACGTATTTTAAGTAATTGATCTCATGTGTTATTGGTGTATATATTTATATATATAATTTATTTTATAATTTTTATTTATTAAACTAATGGAACATTAATTATATTTTATCAATTTTAGATTTGTTTGATAAATTTTTATTAATCCTTATATAAGCCAATTATTTTTAATTTAATGGAACTAACGTGTTTATATCAATTGAACTAGATGTTTAAGTCAATTTTGAAAATAATAATGAAAATAAAATAAGATTTATGAAAAGAAGTTTATTTATCTTAACAAAATTGGAAAGCACAATAAATTATGTATTTTCATATTATCTAATAATGTAATAAAATATTAAGCATGGTAAAAGAGAAATAAATTTCTCAAGAGAAAAATAAATAAATTTTCTAGATAAATTATTATTTAAATTAGTCTATTTTTTTAAAAAAAGATTCAATTAAAAAGATTATTATTTAATTTTCATTTATAGCATTATGTTTCTCATTTTTTTAATACATCATGATATATTAATTATCTATTTTAAATTATATAATTTGTATTATTTTAAAAAATAAATTAGTTTTATTGGGAGGGTAATGATTTTTATTTCTTATCATTAATATTTTTATCATTATAAAAATAATATTGTATATTTTTATATTTGCTTTCATTTAAAAGAAATATATTTTTAAATTTTTTTAAAAATTTTACATTTAGCGACCAATTTAATTTGGTCGCTAAAATTTATATTGTTCTTACCGGAATTTGGTCGTAGGGGTGATCCGTCCAGTAAGATCGGTGAGCCTCCTTTGCTTGATGTATTGGTGCTCCAAGATGGGGGAGGTACCTGTAAAAGAAACTCCGATGCCAAAGTTAGGGTTTGTATGAGTAATAGTCTCATATATATATATAATGCACGTACCTTGAGGTGATCTAGGTTTGCCTTGGGCTTTTGGGCTTGAGATAAGATATATCATGATATGATATGATATAATTGAAGGGCGGATTTGGTTTGGGACGAGATCCTCGGAATCAGGTATGATTTGCTCAAATACCGGGCTGACGTCGCGCAGCGCGTGCCCGGGGCTGTTTTGTATTGCTAATCCGGGCTCGGAGCCCGGGTGCGAAGTACGGTCAGTACAATTATAAATAATAATATTTTTATTTTTTAGTGACCAATTTTAATTTAGTGGCTAAAATTATTATAAATAATAATTGTACTGACCGTACTTCACACCCGGGCTTCGAGCCCGGATTAGCAATACAAAACAGCCCCGAGCACGCGCTGCGCGACGTCAGCCCGATATTTGAGCAAATCATACCT